TTAAAAGGTATATATATATAAATTGGAAAAATTAAAAAGCTTTTGGGGTAAATTAGATATAAAATCATTGTTCAAAGACCTGTTTGATGTTTAGATGACCAATTGTTACATTTGAAAATTCAGTAGAGAAAGCGAAAACTTATTCAAGCATTAGTGACCATTTATGTAGTTTACCCTTTTTATTTTATAAATTCATTGTGTCACCTCAATAATCAATTAAATGATTAACAATAATTAACTCTCATTACCCACATTTTAATTAAATAAAAATTAAAATAATCAAATATTAATTAATTATATAAAAAAGTGACCAAATCTTTTTTTTTTAAATTCGATAAGAAAAAATTATAGAACTTAAACAAAATATATCAATTCCATAGTTTACCTCTTGGACCGTTAAAGCCTCTTTCCCATCAACATGGTTTTCAGAACCGGACCGGTTAGCGAATCGGTTATGCTATCGGTTCATTGGTTCAATCGGTCGAACCGGTCTGATCGGTCGAAAGAACCGGACGACGTCATAATTATTTAAAAAATTAAATAAAAATACCAAAAATATTTAATAAAAAAATTATATCACAAGTCATATTCAAAGCAAGTCATAACATATATAAGTTAAAAACCATAAAATCAATTGAAACAAAATGATTCAAATTAACTACAACATAATATTTAAGGTAAAACATATTAAATAATAACAAAATGATATTGTTTGGTTTAATTTTTTTTAAACAATCCCACATGGCTAAGAAACATAGAAGAGCATTCCAAAAGTCTAAAGAATAAAAATATGAAAATAAAAGAATCTCACATTATCACAACTAACTTCTATAAATAATAGAGGTAATTTGGCATTCAAAATCATAGAGCCTTTTGGTGAGCATTGAGTGAACTATTCTTTCACTTCAATCAAGCTCGAATTTTAGGCTTCAATCGAGCTTCTAATTTTTTTTTTAGTGCAAGCCTTTTTGAGTTCAAGTTTCAATATTATATTTCGAGTTTGAGTTGAACTTGATAATTTTTAGCTTGTGAATTTGAGTTGAGTTGAGCTTACTTTTAAAGTTTTCAAGTTCGAGTCAAGCTCGCCCCTCAATGAATTAGCAGTTAGTTCGGGGTCCTTTTCACATCTCTTTTTGCATGCAATTATTGCACTTGCAAACATATACATACAAATACAATATTCATAAGAATTACTCTTAACGGGATGAGAGATGAAGTTTCAGCCAGAAAAAGAAAGAGTTAATTATATCATACATCCCCAAACTATGAACTTTAATCTAAATTGTTCTCTAAACTTTTGAAGATTCTAATTCTATCCCTAAACTATATCCACAATTTAAATTGGTCCCTAAACTTTTAAATGTTCCAAATTTAACCCCAAACTATGAATCTCGTTCAAAATCAGTCCCCAGACTTTTGAACATTCTAACAATGTCCTCCAAAAATCATTCTAAAGCTTGGGGATGAAAATGAAATATTCAAAAAAACTGTAATCAATATATCACAAGAATCATATTTTAGGGAAGTGTAATACAATTAACTCAAAAGAAAGAAAGTGATTTTATCTTTAAACTTGAAAAAGAAATTGGCTCTTAAATTTGTTTTAATTCTTTTTATTATTTTGATGACACAAAAATTTCAAAATATTCATGCTATAGTCTTAAAGTATGACATTTATCAAAAGACAACAATAAAAAAAGTTATCAAGATAAGACTAATGTGGATATGAAAATTTTAAGAATTAAATTGATAAAAAAAAATCATATTTTGAAAAACAAAATAATTTTGAATTTAAAATTTCACTTGAGATTTATATAATTATTCAGTCATAATTAACACTCAACGCTGGTAACTAAAATTGATCAAACATCTCACTTAGAGATAACAATGAGATGGACGGGTTAGACTTCTTGCTATCCCGAGCCGAAATGCAACACATTTCATAAACTACAATAAAAAATAATTAATTATATTTAATTTGATTTGATTATTACATATTTTTCAAATTAAGTAGAGATATTATATTTTTAATTCAACTAATTTTTTTTATTTATAAACTACAATTATTTGTTTGTTATAATGGATTACATAAACATGTCATATCATTTAAAATAGGGTAAATTATGTATCAAGTCACTCAACTATTCTCATGGTCTTATTTTGGTCACCCAATTTTTTTAAATCATACCTAACGCTATGTTTTGATTATTTGCAATTAGAAAAGTAATGATATCGATACTTCCATCCAAGGTACCTATTCTGACCCTCTAGTATCGATACTAACTTAGGGTATCGATAACAAAATATCTCACTGAAATTTGAAATATAACTTCAATATCGATACTTTATAAACAATATTGATACCCTATGAGAATGTATCGATACTAATATGAATAGTATCGATGTTAGTTCTTCTGGTATCAATACTCAAAAAAAGATTTATAATGTTTATCACGGGAAAATCACTCCAACTCAACCCAAATGCTATCCTAAGACCCTAAGATGTTATTAAAAAGCTTATGGGAACTTTATGGGATCAAATATGTTATTTGGGTAAGTTACATGTTAAGTACCTAAATTATCAGTTTTGTTTTATTTTAGTACATAAACTTTCATTTGTTCCAAAATCATACATAATGTTAACTTTTTGTTTCATTTTAGTACATTATTGTTAAAAAATTAACGGAACTGCTGCCATGGCATTTTTATGGGTAAATTACATCATTCAACATTTAATTAAATTCCCACTTCTATTTTGGTCACTAAAGTTTATAAATTTTCAATTTAACTACTCAACTTTCAAATTATCATGTTTTAATCACTCTAATTTATTTTATTAATACTTTTTTGGCATGACATTTTTATTATTATTTTATTAATATATAATTAAAAATAAATAAATTTGAAATTTAAGTAATTAAATTAAAAATTAAACTTTAGTGACCAAAATAATAGTGAGAAGATAGTTGAGTGATTAATGATGTAATTTACCCATAAAAAAGTGTCAAACAATTCAGCTAAGGTTTTAACGGCGAGGTAACAAAACGAAACAAAAAGTAAATATATATTAGGTATGATTTTAAAAAAATGGAAGTTTAAGTACAAAAACAAAATAAAATTAATAGTTTAGGTACTAAACATGTAGTTTACCCTATGTTATGTTTATGCATAAGTAACATAAAACTTGACCCAAACCATCCCTGAGCAAAATGCACTCATTAAGCTCCATGCATTCATACAAGCTCAAAACAACCAAGAACACCAACTACTCACCTTATCATAAGCTTTTCTTTGTTCTTGTTCTTTGGGGTCTCTCCCAATTCTTGCACTAATCAATCCATCAATAAATGAGTTATAAACTTGAACAAAGACTTAAAAGAAGTAAGACAATGGATTTATTAAAAATACTTAAGCTCAAAGCTCAACCTCCCCCCTCCCCCACGCACAAATCCTTTCATGGCTACTATGGCCGAATGAGGAGAAGAAGAGCTAAAACTGAAGCTCTAAGAGTAAAGATTTCACCACTCACCTTCACAAAATCAGATTAGACATGGAGAACAATAAAGCCCTCACCTTTGCTTAAAATCTCCAAAAAGAAAGAATGAGAGAAAGGTGACGAAGAAGAACACAAGAGAATCACCTCTTCCAAACGCATGACATATGCATAATAAATGAGAATAAACCTTTGAATTTTTTTGATTAATCTTTGAATTTTAAATGATCTAATTATCTCCTTGATCCTCCTCCTTTGCTCATAATTCAAACCCCTTTCAAGGTTATTTGGGTTCAATTCAAATCCAATAATTCCAATCTTGATCCAATCATTCTACTTATCTAATTATATTGACTCAAAGTCCATTCAAGTTAACTCGATCCCGTTGACCCAAAATCTGAGGAGTAACACAAAATCTATAATTTAATGCTCAATATTTAACTTTAGAAAGTTTAATGTCTAAAAAAATCATTTTAATATAGTTTAATGATAATTTGTGAATTTTATCCAGAAATTATTCGAGAATATTGCTCAAATGTTTCAACTAGTCGGTTGGATCCAATTTGACAATTGTGATTTTATGTGTAATATTTTAGTCCTATTTAGTTTAGTGGCTTTGAAATGTTTAATAATAAGGTTAATTCAATTTTCCCAAAAACAATGGGTAAATTATGTATTTAGTCACCCATCTATTTTTTTGTTTATGTTTTGGTCTACTAATTATTTTAAAAAAATCATATCTAAACGTTGCATTTTGGATTTATTTTGGTCACTTATCATTAAAAAATTAATCATGATGTCGACGTGTTACCACAAGGTAATACCATGCCATTATTAAAAAAATGTCACGTCAATAATTCTATTTATTTTTTAATTGTGGGTTACAAAAATGGAAACAAAACATAACTTTATATATGATTTTGAATGAAACAAAATTAGATTACCAAAACAGAACCAAAGGAATATGCGTGTGACTAAATACATAATTTACCCAATATTTTAATCACTTGAATTTTAAATTTTAACAGCAATCTTATCGTTTAACTTTCAAATATAAACGATGAGTTCAAATATCAGTGAAAAGATATTAGATCAAAGAAATGCTAGATATTTTGCTTCTATTAATGTAGTTTTCCCGCTCAGCACCACCACGTGTACCTTTTTCCCAACAAACCACTGTTCGGATGACACGTAACTCACTCCTCCAACACATACACTCACTGACGTTGACTGGCTTCCTCTACTCACTCTCCCACTCTGGATCCTGCGGTATAAACCACGCGACTGTTTCATTCAGCTCCCTCCTTCAAGAAACTTAATCCACGCGCCGCTCCAAAAGCGTAGGTCAAAACAAACCTTGGAGGGCCCAATATGATAATACCCTCAAGTGACAGTACAATTACAGAGCGAAGCAACCAATTGGGAATGAGCACGTGGGGAGGAGAAAAGGAGATTACCAGATTTCCCGTTAGAGGCATTGGATCCAAAGGCAGGTCCCAACTCCCAACGGACAGGAGGTTAGGCATTAAAATACAAGACGGGAGAGCTTAGGCATCCAAGAGGAGAGAGGAGAACGAAGAAGAAAAAGAAGACAGAGAACGAAAGAGAAGGTTGTCTTTCGCTTTTAAATCTTTCCCTTTCTTTTTTAAACTTTGATTTGGTATTTGAATTTAATGGATTTATTTCTTTTTGCGTGAATTTGATTTGTTGCAGGTAAGTTGAAATCTGGGAGGAATTCTCTCTCTCCTCTCAGGTGGACGAAAAGAATGCAGGCCTTTGCTAGAATGACGCTTCCGGTTCGCAGGGTTTGGAGCGGTGTCTCCGCCCGCATCGGCGTTCGTAAAAGAGGTAAGTCTCAGTTCCCGACCGTCTGATTCATTTGATGTTGAAAATCAGGGTGAGGGTTTTTCTTTCCTTTAATTTTGATGAACTCGAATTGTAAAGAAAAGAATTTCGATATTGGAATTACATGGCACTGGGTGTTTAATTATGAGATGAAACAGGGCATATGAAGCTTGGGAAGGACGTGAGGTCGTGCGAGTACGAGGATGTGCGGGTGATGTGGGAGATGCTGAGCCGTATCCAAGCAGAAACCAATCGGATTCGGTACCCCACAAAAAGGAAGAGAACTCTGTCGAGTTGCTTAGACTGGGCAAGGCGAGCGCCTTTCCTTTGCCGAACCTTCTAAAACACAGAGGGTTTCAGCTGTATTCGACAATAAAAGACAAAAAGGAGAGAAAGGAGGGATTAGTTTGTGAGATTTGCCCCTCTTCTTCCTTTCGACTTTCTGTAGATATCAATTTCAGCTGTCTGCCCAGTGAATGTGTTCCATCACTTCCATGTAATAAAGGACTCGTGTGTTCTTCCTGTCATGTTTGTGTTATTATCCCATAGCCATTTTTGAGCTTGAGAAAGAGAATCCAACACTTTGATTGTTTGTTTGAATTGAAAATTAAGGTGGGTGTGAATGATTGATCATACAATATGATTTTCTGGCCTTAGGGTTTTAAATTTGGAGGATGAGTTTTCATTTTGTGGTGAAAAATCAAATGATTTTATTAATATGGGTTTGTGTAACTAATCAGTCGATGTGAGACGAAATCATATTATTCATTCAAAATCGGCAGATATTTTAATGCTGGTGGTGGTGTGGGAAGGGGAGAAAAAGTTTGTGATGTCAAGGCTCTTGTCACCGTCGGTTTCAGTTTCAAATCAATTCTACCACGATTAACCTTTTTCCTATTACCAGAGCATCATTAATTGGATGATAAAATTGATTCTGATAAGATTAAAAATAACCGTGACGATAAAACTAATTATTATTTTAATACGATTAAAATTAATAATATAATATAACTTATTAAGTGGTTTTAATAGTAAAAATATTTTTTTTAAAGTTTCAGATTCGAACATCATCTCATATGTAAATTGTCAATAATTAAAAAAATTATAAACATATATTACATTACCTTATAATTACTCTATACTATTTTAAAATAAAAAAGTTAATAACATGATATAAAATATGATAGTAGTGATAAGATGAAAATGAAAAAAAAATTATATAAAATTTAGGAAAAACTATGCGAATAATTCACTATTTTCTTTACTTTAACCGACTTTGATCATAAAAAAAATAAAAGAAAATGATACCTAACGTTGTAAATCAGTTTGATTTAGGTCATTTGTTATTAATATTATTATTATTATTAACTAAATCCATAAATGTTCTGTATTTATCTGATTTGATTTTTGCTTTTTCTCTCTCATTATGAGAAATGCTTACGTGCGACAGTCTTAATATATGATTAAAAAAATATTATCGGTTTTATTATTATTATTTTTAATAAAACTGGTAAAAAATTATCGAAAACATTATTATTTCTACCGGTTTTGTTATTATTGGACGTTTTACCAGTTTTGATAACATATCAGTTAAAGCGTTACCAAATATATTATTTTTTTATCGAGTTTTTCTACCTCGTTTACCAATATTGGTAATTAATAATAATAAAAAACTAGTAAAAATAATAATTTTTTATCAATTTTGTTAAAAAATAATAATAAAACCAATAATAATTTTTTTTACCGTATATTAAAGTTGTCCCATTATATAACTTACCATAGCCATGTCCTGCAGTATCTACCTTTCAACCACTATTGCTCCTACTCAGTCCGAGTCTGACTCACCCATGAATGCCCGCATAAAAGAATGAGAAAATAACCTCAGTGACCAAAAATGCCTTATAATATACGATTTTAACCAAGTTTTTTTGGATTTGCCAAAATGACCAACTAAATCGCAATGCGATCGATAATTCGCAGCGCGATCTCCGGTATCGCAAATCAGTTTCCAGATTCGCAACGCGATTCTGACTATCGCATTGCGATTTATATAGCGACATTCGTATTAACGCGTATTTTTTTTTCAAATTCCAAACACGAATTTTTTCTTAATATATCGAAAACTGAACCGTCCACAATAATCGCAACTCATAACCTCAAACCTAAAATCACAACACTCAGTCCCATCTCCATCTCTCACTCTCTACGGCGAAATCCATCCCCATCTCCGAAGATTTCCGTCCCCATCGTCGGCGAAATCCCTCACAACCATTCACGGTCAGAAATCCCTCACAATCATTCAGAAATGGAAAATCAATCTCCGAGGGTTAGTTGTTTTAATTATTTTTATTTTGAAATTTTTACATTATTTTAGGTTTTTCATATTGAAATTGATGATAAGTTTACTGGTAATTTCAATAATAGATTAACCATTTCACTTAGATTTCTTATTAAATTCATTTGATTGCTGCCAATACTGCTAAATTGTTTAGTATTTAACCCTGTGAAGTTAGTATTTGTCTTTTGGTTGAAGTAATGCAGAAGAAGAATAGTTTCGAGAATGAAAATCGCAACGCAGAAATGACTATCGCAACGAGAGAATCGCAACGCGAAACCAAAATCGCATTGCGATTTTCATTTCACGTTGCGATTCTCTCGTTGAGATTTTCATTTCGCGTTGTGATTCTCTCGTTGCGATTTTCATTTCGCGTTGTGATTCTCTCGTTGCGATAGTCATTTCCGCGTTGCGATTTTCATTCTCTCGTTGCGATTTTCATTTCAACCAAAAGACAAAACAGTGTTGCAAATTTTAGTTTCAAGAATAAACTACAATTTATGTTTATTGTTTTTGGTATATCTTCACAGTGTAGTTTTTGGTATATCTAACTTGGTATGTTTATTGTTTTTGTAGAAATTTTTTTCGGCTTCATTGACATTAAGGAATAAAGTTAGCCTAGCCACTACAATTGCTTCGAAGCTTTCACCTGCACAAAGAAAATTGTTTGAGGAAACCTGCTTCGGGCCATGGCTGAGAGTACAACATCTGGGTGGAGATGCTAATTTGACCCATTTGTGGCTTCAGACCATGACTACCGATCTACCCGACAGTATACAACGTGGTGAGGAAGAGATATGGTTTCATTTTCCACCGGCGTATACTTGTTTTGGGCGGAAGGAGTTCTGCTTAATCACTGGTCTACGATTCGGACACGATGATGTAGGCCGGTACACTCGTCATATCACCCGCCCATCATGGTTATCCAGGGTTTTTCCTGATGAGTCAATAAAGAAGCTGAACTTACACGTCGACGACCTGAAGAAATTGTTTAATAAGAAAGATGGTTTTACTCGGATGAATGAGGTCGATGTTGTCCGAGTATGCCTTCTACTACTTTTGTATGCCGACTTTTTAGGCAGAGAGGCCATTCAACCTATTCCTCAGGAGCTAATATTATTGGTAGAGGACCTAAATGCATGGAATCTGTTTCCTTGGGGTTCGTATATATGGAAAGCTACCTGGACTAAGTTGTCGTCTGCCTTTGATGACCGTAAAAGTTTACGGGGCGATGGGTCGAAATACACTTTGTCAGGCTTTGTTTGGGCCTTTAAGGTAAGAATTTCTATATAATGTTTTCAAAATTATAATTAATTATTTAACAATTACTAATGTTTGTTAATATATTATTTGTAGATTTGGATATTCGAGGCTTTCCCCAGCATGCGGACATATGCATTAAAAACCTCAAATGATATTCCTAGGGCTATTTCCTGGAAGAGGAAACGTCTGTTGGATTGGGAAGACTTAATACCATATGCGACAATAAATAATGTAAGTTAACACAAATAATATCATATATAAACAAGTTATTAATAGTAGACGTTTAACTTTGTTTGAGTTTTTATATTTTTAGGAAGCCAACACTCCATTAATGAGACTGGCACCCACGGAGGCTGAGATTGCCACTGATTGGTGGCAAGCTAGTCAGCGTTTTCTTGATGGCACGAATGATGAGCAGCCTCCACTTCCTCCACTTCGAGAGCCATCACCTCACCCAGATCCATCACTTGATCGACCCGATTATACACCTCTACAACGAGAGCCATCACCTATCCCGTCACATCATCGAGCCTCTTCTCCACCATCACCTCATGATAGGCGACCGAAAAAGATGCCACGACTTCTATCTCCCTGTTCTCCACCTCCACGGGATGAGTCAAGGGAGTTACGTGATGAGGTCAATGCCTTGCGTGAGGAGATCGATACTCTATGCGATAACGATGGTGCATGGCGTGTGGAGGTGTCTACTTTACGTGGTGAGGTTACCGCTCTACGTGAGATGGTAGTATAGTTGCAGAATGAGGTTCATACTCTACGCAACGAGGTAAGTTTAAGATTTTCCATATTTAACTTGATGATAAATTTACTCGTAATTTCACTTAGATTAACCATTTCACTTAGATTGCTTAGTAAATTTATTCGGTTGCTGCCAATACTGCTAAATTGTTTATTAACACTGTGAAGTTAGTATTTGTCTTTTGTTTTGTCTTTTGGTTGAAGTAAATTTATTCGGTTGCTGCCAATTCTGCTAAACTGTGTATTCTTTAACACTGTGAAGTTAGTATTTGTCTTTGTTTTGTCTTTTGGTTGAAAGTAAATTTGTTCGGTTGCTGCCAATTCTGCTAAACTGTGTATTCTTTAACACTGTGAAGTTAGTATTTGTCTTTGTTTTGTCTTTTGGTTGAAAGTAAATTTGTTCGTTTGCTGCCAATTCTGCTAAACTGTGTATTCTTTAATACTCTGAAGTTAGTATTTGTCTTTGTTTTGTCTTTTGGTTGAAGTAATGCAATCCATTCAAGTTTCAATTTGCAGAAGAAGAAGAAATAGTTTATTCTTGAAACTAATTTAGTAACACTGTTTTGTCTTTTGGTTGAAATGAAAATCGCAACGAGAGAATGAAAATCGCAACGCGAAATGAAAATCGCAACGAGAGAATCGCAACGCGAAACCAAAAATCACAACGCGATTATAGTTTCGCGTTGTGATTTTTGGTTTCGCGTTGCGATTCTCTCGTTGCGATTTTCATTTCGCATTGCGATAATCATTTTTCACGTTGCGATTTTAAGTTCCATTCTTCTTCTGCAAATTGAAACTTGAATGAATTGCATTACTTCAACCAATAGA